TTTTTATTTCACTTCTTTTGGACTGAAGCACTGCAACACCCGCTGAGTGCCATTAAACAGCTTGAAAGATCAAAGACAATTTTTAATATAACTCCGACTGGATTCGTCTGAAAGAAGAAAGTCATATACACCTAGGATGATTTGAGGGTGAGTAATTTATGGGATAATTTTCATTTTTGGGTGAACTAACCCTTTAAGAGGTTAAGATATTTTTGATGAACTCTGAGAGCTTTCTGACCCTCCATAGACAGCAACGCAACTGAAATGTTCTCAGACCCAAAAACGTAGTAAGGACATTGATAAAATAGTGACATCAGTGGCTCAACTTCAATTTTGCGAACCTATGAGAATATTTTTGTGCGCAAAGAAAGTTGGAGACTTTTTGGAGAGTACCACGACACATGCGCACGATTTCCCCAGAACATAGTCAACGTAATCAGCATTGTTTACATTCAGGTGAAAGTGTGCGCATGTGACGTGGTACTCTCCAAAATGGCGAAAGACATTAATTCTGGGAGAAGAATTGTTGAATAAATTATTTTTGTTTTCTTTGCACACAAAAAGTATTCTCGTAGCTTCGCAAAATTGTAGTTGATCCACTGATGACACATGGACTATTTTATCGATGTCCTTGCTGGGTCTGGGAACATTTCAGTTGTGTTGCTGTCTATGGGATGGTCAGAGAGCTCTCAGATTTCATCAAAAATATCTTAATTTGTGTTCCGAAGATGAACGAAGGTCTTATGGGTCAGATTTCATCAAAAATATCTTAATTTGTGTTCCAAAGATGAATGAAATTCTTACAGGTTTAGAACGACATGATGGTGAGTAATTAATGACAGAATTTTAATTTTTGGGCAAACTATCCCTTTAAATGAACAGTGTAGAATGGCAGAATTAAAATTAGCCCATATTGTTAAAATTTTCAGTAAAACACTTAGAGGGTGGAAATTAATACCACATTTATTCTGAATTAGCATTTCCATAGATTTCAATATTCTGGATCAGTCAATATCTGTACATCATATCAGATATAAATGGAAGCTCTGGCAAGTCATAGCTTATGCTTTGTGCACTATAGAATAGGCTTTCAACCAGGGGCGTAGCAATCATTTCAGAAGTGAGGGGGACAGAAATGTTGCTCTTGAAAACCTCTATGTGAACACACTTGCCCGAAAAAGTGCGGGGGACGAATTTACGTGATATTAAAAGTGGAGGGGACACGTCCCCCGCGTCCCCCGCGTAATCTACGCCCCTGCTTTCAACCGAAAGTAACATCCTCACAATACACCTATATTGCCTAGAGGTTCTTCGCATACCTTCCCCCTCACATGGAGAAAAACATGGATAACACCGCATAGATCTCATCAGAGACTTCCTCTTACATGTACTCTTCTTCTTGAACATTTTCCGTTTCGATCCCAAGCTAATCAACACATGTAACCCTTTTTATACATTCTGACTGGTGTGTGAACAGTCGTCATCTTCCTGTCATCCGCTAGAGGGCTCTGCCGCGGTGTTTGACATCAGCTAGAACAATACAGGGGTGTTGATTACCATCGTTCAAGACCAGAGGGGCATTGCTCAAAAGTAGAATTAAGAAAGCCAAGATAACAGAAAAGGCGCGGCTTGACCTAGTTTAATCAGCGCATCCTCGATTTCAGCATTAAAAAAAAAGGCTCATGTATCCGGCACGGGGGGTGGCCCTCCAAACCAAGACTTCACCACAGCAGAGGAGCTGGCCCTGGAGTTGAATAAAGGGAAGCCAGTGATGGAAGGGATCCAGGGAGGGACAGCCACTGACTCTGGCCCAGCAAGAGAAACTGGCCTCTTCATACAAAGTACATTATTGCCATTCTACTGCACATGGAAAACAATCAAATATTTAGATTTTTTTATGTGGACTGTCTGACTTTGCCTTCCCTTGCAGTGTCTGGTAACACACTTACACTTCTGGAGCCACCAGACTATGATCCGCTGGTGAGTACTCTTTATTAAAATCATAGGCTTGGCACATCCTGTCAAAACTATCAATACAAGTTCTATTGAATATGGCAGAGGGAAGGCACATCTGCAGCAGTGGAGTGCACTTCTGCCGATGATGAGACGGTGTCGCTGGACTCCAGAAGGCTTGAGGTGTCATGTCAATTTTGTGTACATTTTTAGTCCATAATGGATAAGTAGTCAGCAATGTGATTCTAATAGAACATATATTTTTAACAGGATCCAGACACTGTGCAGCCTGATAAGCAGCCTAGTAACATAGTGAGTATTGCCTAAAGTAAACCTACATTATGCACAAATCCCGCTGTGCTAATTGATAGGTGTTTTACAGAATTCACAAACTGTCAGACGTCTCTACACAATGCATCTTAAGAGACAGATAGAGCTGGCAGAGGGCAAGATCGAAGTGAACAAGAGAAAGCTGCAGGACATGGACCTTGAGATGGAAATTAAACGTATGGACTTGGGAAACTAGAGAGAGAAGTAAGTGATTTCAGTTCACACTGCAACCATGACTGCACAATGTATTAATCATCGTTATTTTTTCTCTCAAAAGCTCCAAGCTGACAAGTGATGACAGCAAAATAAAAAA